GCACGTTTTAAAGTACACCAGTTCTCAACAACCGATTCATTTGACTGTATTCTTAAAGCCCTTAGAAAATTCTTTTACCACATGAGAAAATATTTGTTTAGTGTTTATAAAAGGTAATTTCTACTCAGAGGGTTTATAAGAAAGAAAAAAAGACAGCTAGAGAACTAAGGTAAGAACACAGACAGAGTTTCTCCAGGGAATTTTATTGGTTTTTTTCTTTCACCTGGTGGTAAAAGATGCGTCAAACATATAAATTATCAAGATTCTGCTTAACATTTGTGGGAAGAAGAGTGGGGATTATTAGTCTTGTCTGAAGAAAACCGACAAGAGAATTACCTCTAACATGTTTTCTAACATGTTGATGAGCATGACCTTCAACTCTTTCTCCAAATCGATACGAAAAGGGGGATCATTTCTTAAGTCTACACTTGGAATAAGAACGAAACCTAGAATTGCACCTACCTCAGTAAAACTTGTATGAGTAAAATAACTACTTTTAATCCTTTATTCGTCTCTCCTCTCTTCATAAAGAACTGCTATCACCTCCTCTACCTCCCAAAGAATATTTTTTTCATTTTCGTAAGTTCAATGACCATCCCCTTCACTGCCCCCAATATTGATGACTTCCACCAAATCACTCCTGAGTCATGTTTTCTAGACATCTCTTTGATGCCCTAATGGGTCTTCAAACTTAACACTGTCAACATATTTCAAACTAAATTAATTTTCCATTTCCCAAACCTGCTCCTCCTCTTCCAGACATAGTCAATTTTACCCCTCCTTTCTGCCCATTGTCCACCACTCACCCCATGTTTTACTTCAACTATATTCTTTTTTACTCCCCCATGCCCTTCTCAGTACCCAGGGTTGCTCATTCTGCTCTCTTTGCCTAATAATAATAACAATCATAATCCTTTCCAGTATGTATTATACATGGTGCTAAGCAATTTATATGTGTGATCTCATTTAATTCTTACTACATTCTTATGACATAGGTACTATTACTATCCCCAGTTAAAGACGTGGAAACGATACTCAAGGTGACAGAGCTAATATGTGACAGGCTGAGAGTTTAATTCCAGTTTGAAAGCAGTGCTCTGACCTGCCTTTTCCACCTTGGTAAATGCAACATCTCAAGGCTTAATGTGTTTACTCTTACGTGAATTCTTCGACAAATATATTTTGAGTGCACTCTCTACCAGACATAGTGCTTGACACAGGTTATCAGCAGTGAATAAAGTGAATTTGGACGTGGACTCCTATAGACCAGTTAGAAAGAGAAACTTAAAGCAAATAACCACAAACATATATCATAAAATCCCAGGTGATAATTGCTATAGTGAAAAGCTTTCGGTGTGGGCGATGTGTCTGTCTCCAGGCATCACATGAGGACATTAGAGTCACAACTTCAACATTTTTTATTTCTCCATCATTAACTTGTTCTCTTATTGGTATGTGGTTGCTGTTGCACTGATAAATTATAGGAACTATTCAGGTTAGAAATTAGATTTCTAGTTGGAAATTGAAGTCAATTTTGTAGAAATGGAATGGTAAGCCTTTTTGGCATCATGACAAGAGTTTTAGGGAGAAGAAGACAGAAATACTATGAGTGAAAAAGTGAGACTGGATTTGACAAAAGGCAAGATTGTCTGAATGTAAATCTCTCAATTCATAAATGCACTTGTTCTATTTGATATAGTATGAGTTTGACAATGTTCAGAACATAATATAAAGCTCTATTTACTCAAATTTTTGCCAGAAGGGAATTGTTGGGTGTTGGGCCTAGAAGGATAAATGGACAGGTAGGAGCTCTAGTTACTGCTTATTGTTATATTCTTTTTACCCTTTATCCACCTGCTGAGTACAAACAATTTGACAAGTGGTCTTTACAAAAATTAAAACCCCCAAATATGATATTTTAGGTCTCAAACTTCATGTGAGAAGCACTAATGCAGCTATAAAACAGTTATAATATTTTCAAACAGCTGAACTGATGGCAAAGGCCATAATAAATTTTCAAAGAATGACATCTTGGATCAAGATACTGTGAATCAATGACTCAGAATAATATTAAAATAAACATTACAAGGGTTTTATCAATAGATACAAACCCAGTTAAGCCTGTAAACATTACTATAAAGAGACGTTAAATTGCACAGAAATGACAGACAATAGCAGCAATCTTTTTTTTTTTGTTTTTTTTCTGTTTCTGTTGCCTTATGATGCAATGTATTGTGTGTGAGTACTTAAATTCACTCCTCTTAAAGTTACAATAAATGACACCAATTTGGAACTACCTTATTCTATTGGGGAAACTGAATTTTTAAAAATACTGCAAAATAAAAAATGTTCACCTGTCCATCGCAAAGAACAAAGATCTTACTCTCAGTACAGGGTGCCATACTGGGCCCATGAATTTCACAGTTGGTTGGCTGGGGTATCCATGTCAGTGCTCTCCTTACCTATAATACCCAGACAGGTATGGGCATGTAAACCAAGCAGTTAATGTTAATGTAGACCACAGAGTTTCATGATGAAAAATGTTATATAAACTTTACACTAAAAGAAGTAAAAATTATTGCTTCAGTAATTACTTGAATCATCGCTAGAACTTTGTACAACATAGATCAAGGAGATTACGGACTTCTGTTATCGATCTTCTCTTCTACACTAGTAAAGAAGAGTAACAAAAATAATCATCCTCAAATTCTGTGGTAGTTTTACTCTTTTGAAATTTGCTGAAGTTTCATTTTATAGTGTAATGAGATTTCCACCTCACACCCACTGCTGAGGATCTTAACTGCTTCATAATCAACATTTATTGTGTTGTTGAATTCCTCCTCACACCAAAGCAAATTTTTCTTTTCCTCTACTAATCAAAAGGAGTCAGTTGAGTTAAACAAATTTAAGATGTTGATCCATTTGCCCCAGCTTCTCTCCTTACCCACAACAAATCGATAGACATTGGAGAAGCCTGACCTCTGGGAAATGTTATCAGAATAGCATGGGATCACTCAAAATTATATAAATATAGAATCTTCTATTTGTCAATTTTTACACATTTCACTCTTAGTACATGTGTACTGTGATACATTACACTCATCACAACATGATTTTGGTGATTTTAGATGAAATGAGATATAAAACATTTCACTGTTGCCATAATTTTGACTGAAATTATAACTCTATTATCCATTTCATGAAAACAACACATTTAAAAATTACTCAATTATTCCCACTCTAACTCAATTTTGTACATGTTTTAATTACTGCAATTTTAAAAATTAGTATAGCCTGAGTTTCTATATATCAAATATTAGAAAAAAATTGAAATCCTAATTTATGGAATTACAAGCCCTTCTAAATTCTTGTTCTTATACAGTAACACACAACTGCAATAAAAATAACATAATCTAAGGATATATAGCATGATATAAAAGTATTCTATTAATGTTCAGTTAGCTTTCAACAGCACTGTACGGCAATACTTTAGTTATACAACTTTGTAACCTCAAAAATAATGCTTTTTATAGAAGGGAAAAAAAGGATTTTATTCTAACAGTTATACCTGATAGAGAATGGCCTACATAAAAACAGTAAATTAACTATGAGAGTCAAGCAGTTTCAAAGAACGACTCATGAAGAAGCTTTGATTAATCTACAAATACTGTAGCTTATCACTGCAACAGCAGAGGAAACTACCTACTAAACAATGGTCCCCACAAAGGTACAAGATGAATAATGTAACCGCTGCTCTCAAGAAAGGGAACGTGACCAGAAACTTACCTTAAATGGAGAGGACTTCAAACAGCCTTTGAAACCACTTCATCCTGCCATTTTGCTGTAATGACAAGGATGAAAACTACTGCCACAGCCTCACTGGTTTTCTGCTTCATTTACTGCAAAGATTCTCTGCTGTGGATTAGTCACCTGGTGAGGCTCAAAACTTTGGAAGACAATTGTTCTGGGGTGGGCCTGGGGCACTGGTGTGTCATGAAAGCCCTTGGGTGATTCTAATACACAATCAGGGCTGTGAAGCAATGCTCTGCTGCCACAGTTGTTGCCTTGGTTTCCCAGGCTTCTGTCTGGCCCTCTTGTGATAGCTTCTATGAATGCTGCCAGATGACATTTCTCTAATTCTCTAATGCTTACAGAGTTAAATCCAAACTTCTGCGCAAACTGCACAAGACTCAACATGATCTGCTCTTATCTGCCTGATCAGCTGCCTCTCCTCTACTCTCCACCAGCTCTAGAAGCACTTGATTGCAACAAGCCTGGCCTTAGCCTCAGGGGCCGTGCACTTACTCATTCCTTGCTCTGAAATGCTCACCATGTTTATCTGTCTGGAGAACTGCACCTCCTCTGTGAAGCCATTCCTGACATCCTAGAGCCCAACCCTCCTTTGAGTGTTCTCAAAGCATCCTATATGTACACAGTTTTGTGTTTTTTTCTAATCATATTGGACGGTCATTTTTAGAACACATGTCTCTCCCATCTTCATTAGACTTTTTTGAAGCAGGGACTATATCACATTTGCTCTATAGCCCCCAAACTCAGCACACTGCCTAGCATATACAGCATTCTGTATTTGTTGAATAAATGAATGATATCATTTATACTATTTTTACCTATTATAGATAGAGCAAGAGGAGACTTACATTGGGACCACTGGAAAAAAATCAAGTCCATAATAATAAAGAAAAAGTCTTAGTATTTATTTAGTATTTGGTAGTAGTAACTATTATTAAAGATCAGCCTTCCCATGAGGTTACTAGATTAATTTTCAACATGGTTAAAGTCAAAGACAAAACTGTAATTAATTCCTTAAGAGTGCGCTCTTATCATCAGCCTCCCCAAACCATATGCTTTCAGAATGATGGCCAATAAATGCTCACCTTCAGCTCCGTAAAGAAACCCCCTTAATGCCCACCACAAGTGGATCTAATCTGGCTGCTTCTGCTATGTGACGTCTAACCCACAACTCTGGTGAAAATGCTTACTTTGTATTTGCTTTCTGATCTGGAAGGGGTGGGAATATGTCCTTTTTTCTTGAAGGTTGTAAAGTGCTTGCACTGAGGACATGGCTTGGTGCTGGAATCAATACGGCCAAGTTCCAAGAAGTACTTATACTTGATGGAGTCTTCATGCGTTAAGTTATAGACAACAGTTGTTTCTTCCAAGAATTCAAAACACTCTGTGATGGGGCATTTGATTTCTACTTGGCCAAGTTGTACCTGCATGATGGAAGAGCAGATGGAAGGAAAAAAAAGTCACTGGTTATTTTCTTTCATTTTTTTTTTTTTGTATACAGTATTACTTATTTCATGATTGCAATAAAGGATTGTGTGCAATTTTTAAGATAACATAATCAATGTTAATCACCTTGATACCTGCTTCCAGCAATACCAAAATAATCACTATATAATGTTTCCGAAATGATTTATAGGGCATTTAAGTCTTCTCTGATTATTGTTTTTGTGACAAGAAATAGACCTAAGCCACAGGCTCACCAAAGAAGCAAATGATCATCTCATGTTTCTGGAAACTGCAAGGTTACACAGCATTCAGATGATGCACCGACTGCAAGAACTGCAGGGTCACGCAGCATTTAGACAACATGCCAACTAAAAGGTGTTTCATATTTTTCAACATCACTGCAGAATACTTCAGCACTAAACTCTGGGCACATTTTACTATTTTAAAAGGACTAAAGAGATTCTGTAATGTAGAATGCCTAATAGTTTAAAAAATGTTACAAAAAATAACTGTTTCCTCTGACCCTTCTGTGTTAAGAACATAAAGTAAGTAGTTCCTATGTAATGAGAATCATAGGAACAAGTAAGAAAATGAAACCAGCTACAACAGTGTAAAAAAATCCTTATGAAATCTGGCTACTACTGAGATAATTTACAAAATTAATGTATTCAAAGGACTATGGCGCTAGATTAGGAGAGAAGGGAGGATACATCAAAACGCGACATTTAGTATGTGGTATGGAGTACTAGATATGGTTAGCATTAAATATTACAATAAAAGATTACAGCACAAAGCACGGACACAACTAATTTTTAAATGATTAAAATAAACAACTTTGAAATAATGAGTAGCTAGAGTGTTTTTCATAAGTGGTGAACAATAACTCTTTATATTCATGGCATTACAATCTCTTTTGTCCATCCTAATGTACTAAAGGGAGGCACTAAAAACTCCAGATGACAAACAACACCAAACCCTTTCTATTTTATTTGGGTGAATCTGACATTCTCAGAAAGCAAAGCATACACACTTGCAGTAGAAAAGTATGCTATGAAGACTCAGGTAGGAGTAGGAGAAAGCCACGCAGTTTGGGGAAAGAAAAACACCACAGAGAGCAGTTAAAAAAAGAAAACTAAATTCATAGTAACTGTTAACATTGCTATTTATCTGGCACAAGCTTGAGGTAAGGTAGTTAAGAAGTTGCAGGCTGACGTGTTGAATATCAGTAAAGAGCATGAGCTAAGCTGAAAGCAAAATGAAAGAGGCTGGCTTTGGATAATTCTCCTTATTAGTATTGACCTGTTAAAAGTATAAACTATTGCATAATTTTATGCTACTATTGTACAAAACACGGCCCAGAGAGGATTTAAAAATATGTGCCCATTTTTTTCTACTTTTTCTGATGAGTCTGGCTCACAGTCCCAATCAGATTTTATTATTCATGTTACAGTGTTATGATGCTATTATAATTCAAATTATGTTTCAGAATAAATTATTTTGTTCTGCCTCAAGACAAAAATTCTCAGGAGATTTTTGTGTAGATAAAAACCCCTGTGTAACATACTAAGAACCTGGTTTAATGAAGTATAGAACTTAAGCATGAAAAAATGACTAAATGTTTCCTCTTTTAATATTCTGTAGACATTTATCGAGCACGATTCTGAGGCAGGTACGGGCTAGGTACTGAAGCTTTCCAGGTGCAGGTCAGTAAAGAGGCAATCAGGATGCAAAATGGTGAGTACAAGGTATCAGGAGAAGTACAGTAATCTCAGACTTGGGGGGATGCGAAGAGGTTTCTTGGAAGAAGTGAGGTTTCAAGTGAGAGCTTAAGACTAGTAGGATTTAGCCAAACAAAGGTGAGAAGGGGTTCCAAGCAGACAAAAGAGACAACTTGGGCAAAGGCCTGGAGGAAAGGGAACACAGCACTAGCATACCCCAAATGCACATGCCTCTGAACTTAAAGATCACAGCCTTGGGACGGCTCTTAAAGATGAGCAGCAGCCTGGACCACAATGTGTGAGTAAGGAAAGATGAGGCTGTTATGCAAAGATGAACCAGCTTGGACCAGAGCACAAGGGCCGAGCATGAAGCCACCTTAGGAGTCTGTATGTTTTTCCTATTTAAATAGAAAGCTATGCAGTTTTCAGAATGTGAAAGATAGTTTTTTTTTAAGTCCACAGAAAATGGGCTTACTTGGGCCACCTCGAGAGGCATTTGTTATTGGGCAGCAGTACATTTTTATGATTAAGAGCCTGAATTTTTTATTGTCAGGTCAGTGTTCGAATCCAGTCTTCCTCACCTATGAGTTTATTTTAACTATATAAATGATAACAATGGAGGCAGCAATTTCACAGCCACTCAGGAATGACCAGGTGTTATGGAAACTGAATGCAGTTTAGGGATTAGAACAATCCAAGGCAGCTAAAGAGGGCAGGTTGTCTTGATACTCCTTCAGCAGTGGGTATTTATTACTCAACCACATCAGGATACCATCCAACATCCAATCAAACACTTTTCTACTGCAGTATTGCTCAAATCTGCAAACCTATTCAATTTCCATAGAATATATTACTTCCTCTAGATTTCATACCCTCCGCATTGACTATTCCTTCCCTTCCCTTCTTTCTCAAGGCTCCAAAATCCCTATCCTACTACATTGAACCAAAGACCTCATATTTTATTGAACACATAGAGGCAATCAGATGCATATTCCCATACCTACCCACTACCAGCTCTAGCAATTTACATCTCTGTTTTCTGTCTTCCCTCTATAGAGGGCTGAATCTATTTCCAGAACAACTGTATACGAGTCTCTTAAAGTGTCTGTAAAGTGTCTGTTGGGCATTCCAGTTTCCTGGCCCACTCAAGGCCTACAGAACTGGGATCATTGTTGACAAGCCAGTAATTGGCAGTTTGGAACAGCTACTCATACAATCATTCTTCTTCATACTAACAGTATCCTCTTTTTCATAATATAGTGTTACTCATCACCTATGCAATCTCTTGGCCTCTCTCTACATGCATATCTTTTTCAGAAAATTGTCCTCAAAAGATCACTAGCAAACAACTAATTATGATTAAGTGAAGTACACTTTTTCATGTGTTCAACAAGGTATGTATTTCATCGATTCAAGAATGCATTTTAAAAGCACATTTTAATTTCTTGAAAGTCAAGTTTTTTATAATCAAAAGAAATTAGTATTGTACGTCGTTTACTTGGCAGTGTTTTTACTTTCTTGGTGGTGCATAACCGAATACTGCATCCTACTATTGATCACATCTTTGATTTCAGTGAAATGTGGTTTCTGTGAGCTAAGTAGTGTGATGGACTTCTGGAGAGATAAGAGGAGACAGAAACACAGGGTTTCTACTGGAGGAAATGAATAATAAACAAGCAAATCAACAAGGCAGATTGTAACCTGTGTTATGAATGAACTACACATCATGGAAGCAATCTCTAAGGAAATGACAACCTGAGTTGAGAACTGAAAGGTCTGTCATGCAGAGAACATGGGGAAGAGACAGCAAATAAAGGAAACAAGAACATTGGCTTCAGCCAGAAGGTGTCTGATGTGTCTCTGCTCAGAGCACAGAACTCAGTGACAAAAATACATACTAAAGGAAGGAGAGAACAGTATGAGATGAAGTTGGAGAGTTAGGCAGAAGACAGATCACATGGACCTTGCTGGCCATGGTAAAAGGTCTGTATTATAGACAATATGAATCACTGGTTTTAAGAGGAGGACTGACATGCTCTTCTTGGAGAAGAGACTGTAGAGAAATAAAAGTGAAGGCTGGGAGAATTCTGGAAGTCTGGATTCAATGACTCTTCCCACAAGTGATGTCTAACTGTTACAGGCAGTTGATAGACGACTGAGAGGTAACAAGATACAGGGTGTATTTTGGAAGTGGAATCAATGAGATTTTTTTAAATTGACAAAAATTTTATGTATTTATGGTATGCAACATGAGGTTTTAATATATATGTACAGATAATATATATTAATCAAGCAAATTAATAAATGCATTACTTCACTGCTAATTTTTTAACAGAAGTAAGAACAAAGATCATTAATAGGAGTGGTGAGAGAGGGCATCCTTGTCTTGTGCCAGTTTTCAAAGGGAATGTTTCCAGCTTTTGCCCATTCGGTATGATATTGGCTATGGGTTTGTCATAAATAGCTCTTATTATTTTGAGATGTTACATCAATACCTAATTCATTGAGAGTTAACATGAAGGAATGTTGAATTTTATCGGAGGCCTTTTCTGCATCTATTGAGATAATCATGTGGTTTTTGTCACTGATTCTGTTTACGTGATTGATTACATTTATTGATTTGCATATGTTGAATCAGTCTTGCATCCCAGGGATGAAGCCAACTTGATCGTGGTGGATAAGCTTTTTGGTGTGTTGCTGGATTTGGTTTGCCAGTATTTTATTGAGGATTTTCGCATCCATGTTCATGAGGGATTTTGGCCTGAAGTTTTCTTTTTTTGTTGTGTCTCTGCCAGGTTTTGGAATCAGGATGATGCTGGCATCATAAAATGAGTTAGGGAGGAGTCCCTCCTTTTCAACTGTTTGGAATAGTTTCAGAAGGAATGATATTAGCTCCTCTGTACCTCTGGTAGAATTCAGCAGTGAATCTGTCTGGTCCCGGGCATTTTTTCATTGGTAGGCTATTAATTACTGCCTCTATTTCAGAACTTGTTATTGGTCTATTCAGGGATTCGACTTCTTCCTGGTTTAGTCTTGGGAGGGTGTATGTGTCCAGGGATTTATCCATTTCTTCTAGATTTTCTGGTTTATTTATGTAGAGGTGTTTATAGTATTCTCTGATGGTAGTTTCTATTGCTGTGGGATCAGTGGTGATATCCCCATTATCATTTTTATTGTGTCTATTTGATCCCCCTCTCTTTTCTTCTTTATTAGTCTACCTAGTGGTCTATCTATTTTGTTAATTTTTTCAAAAACACACCTCCTGG